AGCTTGAGGCTCTGTCTCGGGAAAAAAAAAAAAATTTCGCTCTAAAAATAAATAAATAAATACAATTCTCTCTAAAAAAATAAAATTTTCTCCCTATAATCTTAGCAGTCTTGGAGGCCAAGGCAGGAGGATCACCTGAGCTCAAGAGTTTAAGACCAAGCTGAGCAAAGCAAGAACCTGTCTCCACTAAAAACAAAAATTAGCCAGGCAAGTTGGCATATGCCTATGTCTCAGCTACTTGGGAGATCAAGGCAGGAGGACTGACTGCTTGAGCCCAAGAGTTTGAGGTTGCTGTAAGCTAGGCTGGAGCCATAGCACTCTAGCCCAGGCAAAAGAACAAGACTGTCTTTAAAAAAAAAAAAAGGATGATAAAACAGCAAAGATAATTTTTTATTTTTTTTTTTTTTGACATAGAATCTCAGTCTAGTGCCCTGACTAGCATGCTGTGGCATTATAGCTCATGGCAACCTCAAGTTCTTGGGCTCAAGAGATACTCTTGCCGGCTCTGAACCCATAGCTCAAAAGTTAGAGTGCTGCCCACATGCACCAGGGCTGGTAGGTTCAAACCTGGCCCAGGCCTGCTGAACAACAAGGCCAACAATAACAAAAAAACAGCTGGGCATTGTGGTGGGTGTCTGTAGTCTCAGCTACTAGGGAGGGTGAGGCGAGAGAACTGCTTGAGCCCAACAGTTTGAGGTTGCTGTGAACTATGATGCCACATCACTCTACCCAGGGGGACAGCTTTGAGACTATCTCAAAAAACAAAAACAAAAACAAACAGATTCACTTGCTCCATTTTTCTATTTTTAGTAGAGATGGGGTCTTGCTCAGGCTGGTCTTCAACTCCTCAGTTCAAGTAATCCACCCACAGCAGCCTACCAGAATGCTAGGATTATAGGCGTGAGCCACAGAGTCCAGCTAATCTGAAGGTTTTATAATTCTCACGGGCACAGTCTAACTTTGTCACCCTTGGTAGGATACGGAGGCATCATAGCTCACAGCAACCTCAAACTCTCAGGCTGAAGAGATTCTTTTGCTTCAACCTCCCAAGTAGCTGCGACTACACGGACCCACCATGATACCCGGTTTTTGTTGCAGTTGTTTAGCTGGCCCAGGTTAGGTTCAAACCCACCAGCCTCAGTCTATGTGGCTGGTGCCATACCCACTGTACTATGGGCGCTGAGCTGACAGAAATGTTTTGGGTGTTTTTTTTCTTTTCCACCACAATACCCGGCTAGTTTTTGGTTGCAGCCATTATTGTTGTTTGGCAGGCCAGGGCTGGATTCAAACCCGCCAACTCAGGTGTATGTGGCTGGAGCCTTAGCCGCTTGAGCCACAGGCACCAAGCCAGAAAATGTTATTATCTGAGAGTTTAGCACGATAGATTTTTTTTTTTTTTTTTGAGATAGTGTCTCATTATGACGCTCTCAGTAAAGTGCAGTGGCGTCATAGCTCACAGAAACCTTGCCCTTGGGGTCAAGCTAATCTCTTGTCTCAGCCTCCTGAGTAGCTGGAATTACAGGTGCCTGCCACAATGTCTGGTTATTCTTTTGTTAGTTGTAATTGTTGTTTAGCAGGCACAGGCCAGGCTCAAACCCACCAGCCTCGGTGTATGTGGCTGGCATTCTAGTCATTGAGCTACATGTGCCGAGCCTACAATAGATTCTTTTAAATGTAGTATTTACTTTTTTTTTAAGAGACAAAGTCTGACTTCGTTGTCCTTGGTAGAGTGCCATGGTGTCACAGCTCACAGCAACCACTTGGGCTTAGACGATTCTTTTGCCTCAGCCTTCCGAGTAGCTGGGACTACAGGCACCCGCCACAACGCCTGGCTATTTTTTTGTTGTAGTTTGGTCGGGGCTGGGTTCGAACCCACCACCATCGGTATATGGGGCCGGCGCCGCTCTACTCACTGAGCCACAGGCACTGCCCATTCAGTATTTATTTTAATCATAACAGACGTACCAGCCTATCTACTGAAACTATTTTTGGAACATGAAGTTTTATAATGAAACTTTAGATGCCTTTGAAAATAAAGGAGATTAAAAAAAAAAGAAAAGAAAGGAGAAAAGGAACTTAGCTCCTCCTTGTGGCTGCATACAATAATTGCTTCTTAGAGACTGTCGCCAGTGAAAGTTTCTTCAAAATAGTCTCCCCTTAGGAATAACTAAGGCATCTCAAATTTTTGAACATTATCAAGAAAATTACAATCTGGCTCAGTGCCTGTATAGTTCAAGTGAGTAGGGCGCTGGGTGGCCATATACACCATAGGTGGTGTGTGTGAGCCCAGCCTGGGGCTGCTGGCAACAATGACAACTCCAACAATAACAACAAAAAATAGCCGGGCTTTGTGGCAGGCACCTATAGTCCTGGCTACTGGGGAGGCTGAGGCAAGAGAATCAATTAAGCCCAAGGGTTTGAGGCTGCTGTCAGCTATGATATCATAGCACTCCGCTGAGGGCGACATAGACTATATCTCAAAAAATAAATAAATAGAACAGCGCCTGTGGCTCAGTGAGTAGGGCACTGGCCCCATATACCAAGGGTGGCTGGTTTGAACCCAGCCCCGGCCAAACTGTGACAAAAAAATAGCCTGGCGTTATGGTGGGCGCCTATAGTCCCAGCTATTCAGGAGGCTGAGGCAGGAGAATCGCCTAAGCCCAAGCTGGAAATTGCTATAAGCTGTGAAGCCATGGCACTCTACCAAGGGCGACAAAGTGAGACTCTGTCTCTAAAATAAATATAATTAAAAAATGAAAAAGAAAATTAAAATCTGGATATGCTATTTTACTCATTTATCACTTTCTAGTTTTAACTTGAGTGATAAAATAGAAATTCATGTTACAATGATCCAGTTTAAAATTCTGCTTATGTTTTACAAGACTAGAAGTCTTTTTATTTTTTGAGACAGAGCCTCAAGCTGTCGCCTTGGGTAGAGTGCTGTGGCATCACAGCAACCTCCAACTCCTGGGCTCAAGCAGTTCTCCTGCCTCAGTCTCCCAACTAGCTAGGACTACAGGTGCCTGCCACAACGCCTGGCTATTTTTTGGTTGCAGCCGTCACTGTTGTTTGGCAGGCCTGGGCTAGATTCAAACCCGCCAGCTCAGGTGTACGTGGCTGGCGCCTTAGCCGCTTGAGCCACAAGACTAGAAGTCTTAATGGAAGTTTAAATGTATAAACAGAAACAACCAGGAGACAATTAAGCTGATCCCTTAAAAAGAAACAGAACAAAAGGAAGTGATATATAAATAAAGGGATCAGACAGCCTCACCTTTTGGGTCTGGAAAGTCACTTATTATCAGAAACTCTCCCTGTAAGCTTAGCTATCAAGAGACTTGCAGTTAAAGCCATCAGTTCTAAGTGATTAGTTCTAATTTATCACAATTCTCCTATTTAACAAATATTTCATCTATCACAAGATGACAGAAAAGGAGTAGGGAACCTCTGCCCTTCTAGGTTAAAAGCAACCTCTTAACTGAATCCAAATTTTACAGAAAAAATCCTTTTACTATAATGGGTGCAACAGAGAAAGATAATGCTTTTCTTGGCTCCTATGGTATTTAAAAATGAATAATCTTGAAATCGGCTCAGCACCTGTGGCTCAAGTGGCTAAGGCACCAGCCACATACACCTAAAGTGGCAGGTTCGAATCCAGCCCGGGCCCGCCCAACCACGATTGCTGGCTGCAACCAAAAAATAGCCGGGCGTTGTGGTGGGCGCCTGTGGTCCCAGCTACGTGGAAGGCTGAGGCAAGAGACTCCCTTGAACCCAGGAGTTGGAGGTTGCTTTGAGCTGTGATGCCACAGCATTTACCCAGGGGGACAGCTTGAGGCTCTGTCTCAAAAAAAAGAAAAGAAAAGAAAAGAAATCAAGAAAGCTAGGTATACTGTGGAATACTATTCAGCTATAAAAAGGGTGGAGACATTAACTTTGGTATTAACCTGGATAAAGCTGGAGAACATTCCCCTTAGTAAAGTATCAACAAGAATGGAAAAGCAAGCACACCACGTATAGATACTAGTAGGAAATAGGTAGAGAAACAACCACGCGCCTACACAAAGAACACAAACTCAAGTAGGGGCAGGGAGTTTGGTGTGCTCTTACCTAACAGGTACAATGTTAGGGTATACTGCACACCTCCTGGAGGAGGGGCACAATTACAACCTGGACTTTACCTAACAAATGCAAACAATGCAACCTAATCACCTGTATACTCACATTAATCTGGTGAAAAAAAAAAAAAAATCAGAAGGCCACAGGTTTCCCAATCCCCAACACTTTCTAAAGAAATACGAGGGGTTTTTTGAAATAGAGTCTCACTATGTCACCCTCAGTAGAGTGCCACGGTGTCATAGCTTGCAACAACCTCAAACTCTTGGACTAAAGTGATTCTCTTACTTCAGCCTCCCCAAGTATCTGAAACCACAGGTGCCCAACATGACGGCCAACTATTTTTGTTGGTGTTGTTGCAGTTGTCATTGTTGTTTTAGCTGGCCTAGGCTTGGTTCAAATTTGCCAGCCTTGGTGTATGTGGCTAGCACCCTACTCACTGAGCTATGGGCACTGACCTTTTATTTTTGAGACAGAGTCTCTCTTTGTCACCCTTGGAAGCTATGATGTCATAGCTCATAGCAAACTCAAACTCTTGGGCTCAAGTGATTCTCTTGCCTCAGCCTCCTAAGTAGCTAGGACTATAGGCTCCTGCCACAATACCTGGCTAATTTTAGAGACTGGGTCTCACTCTTGCTCAGACTGGTCTTGAACCTGAGACCTCAGGCAACCTACTCACCTTGGCCTCCCAGAGTGCTAGGATTACAGGAGTGAGCCATCGGCCCGGCCAGAAATAGTTTTCACTGTTTTCCCCAAATAATAACTGGTAATAGGAAAGGATGAGTTTTATTAAAAGAACAAAATGATCTATTTCCTCTACTGAGTGATAACCAGATATTTAAAAACCACTGGCATTTCCTAAATCTATTCCTTACTTTTTCCTTCTGTTTCTTTCTGGTCGTATTTCAAGAACTATATTCCAATGTCTAAAGTACACAAATTTACAAACAAAGCTATTAAAAAACTTACAAAACATAGTAATTTTTCAAATTAGCAGAGATTACCTGTGCAGGCGTGTCTGTTTCATTGATTGGCTGCCCATCAAATCGGAATCTGATCTGCCTCATTGACAAACCCTAAACACAAAAAACAAAAAGCAGCATGTAAAAAAACCAGCAAGCACTCCACTTAAATTATATACATATTTAGCTACAAACATATTAAAAGATACCTAATAAATAATTATCAATGTTAACATTTCCATGTGGATAAGAAGATTCAGGGTGACTTTCACTTCCTTCAAACTATATCTAGTAAGTACAGTCTAGAGTTTGTTTGTTTGTTTTCTGAGACAGAGTTTCACTTGTCATCCTCAGTAGAGTATCATGGCATCATAGCTCACAGCAACCTCAAACTCTTGGGCTCAAGTGATTCTCTTGCCTTAGCCTCCTGAGTAGCTGGGAATACAGGCGCCTGCCACAAAGCCCAGCTATTTTTAGAGACGGAGTCTTGCTCTGGGTCAGGCTGGTCTCGAACCCATGAGCTCAGGCAATCAATCCACTTCAGCCTCCCAGAGCGCTAGGATTACAGGTGTGAGCCACTGTGCCCCGCCTATATCATTCTTTTAAAAAAGCTTTATTACCTTTTGAGGCCATAGCTAGTACATGTCATATAGCCTAAGACTAATATTGCATTAAAATGCATTAGAAAGACACTGAAAAGAAACTTAAAGTAATAGACACACATTGAAGGGCTCTACAATGAAGGAAACACATCATCATGAAGAAAGCTAAGTCAAGCATGGTGGCCCCCGCCTGTAATTCCTTCACTGTGAGGAATTCCTGCACCTCTGAGAGGTCTCACTCTGCCTCTCAGCCTCCTAGAGGATTACAGGCATTAGCCACCATGCCTAGCCATAACCACAGTTTTGTTTCCTTTTTTTTGAGACAAAGTCTCAAACTGTCACCCTTATTAACCCTTATTAAGGGTGCCATGGTGTCACATAGCTCCACACAGGAACCTCCAACTTTTGGGCTCAAGAAATCCTCTGGCCTCAGTTTTTCTACTTTTTAGTAGAGATGAGTCTCAGTTTTGCTTAGGCTGGTCTTCAATTCCTAAGCTCAAGCAATCCACCCGCCTCAGCCTCCTAGAGTGCTAGAATTACTGGCATAAGCCACTACACCTGGCCCATAACCACACTTTTTAAAATAAAAAACTACTAAGAAGTTTTAATAAGGAAATTTAAAAATTGTATTAGAGGGTTTGGCGTCTGTAGCTCAAGCAGCTAGGGCGCCAGTCACATACACCAGAGCTGGCGGATTCAAATCCAGCTTGGGCCCGCCAAACAACAACAACAAAAAATAGCCAGGTATTAAAGTGGGAGCCTGTAGTCCCAGCTACTTGGGAGGCTGAGGAAAGAGGATCGCTTAAGCCCAAGAGTTTGAGGTTGCTGTGAGCTGTGATGCTATGTCACTCTACCCAGGGCAATAGCTTGAGAATCTTGTCTGAAAAAAAAAAAAAAAAAAAAAA